CCAGGGCAACCGGGAGCCGTTGGTTTCCGGCACCTGCCACCTGCCTTGAGGCGCACGGTTTGACTGTAGTTTTCCTGGTGTTGGCCCTTCCCAAATCTCCGTGGTGGTGCGTTGGCAGACGGTGGGAGCCGGCTTGACAGGGACGGGGGTAGCCGCCTTGACAGCGTGAAGGGGTTCGGTTCCCCCCCCCCCTTTTAAGGAGAAAACTCCCCAAACTTAAATACGAGCTGTTTTGGTCTGTCTGAAACTGTCGAGGTGTCACCTCTGTAGCAAAGCTCCAACGGGGGACGTTTTGGTTGCGACCTCCTTAACTGGCCACGTGCTCTCAGGTGCTTTGCTTAGAAATGCCGTCACCCGTCCCCGTCTCGGCCTTATCGACGTACGAACCGTTGATGTGAAGGGATGGAGGATGCCGTTGACCCCAGGGAAACGGCTGCCAGCCGTGCCCGCCGCGCTTGTGGGTGACCAGAGGGGGAATTTGTTGGCCCCCTCCTCACCGGTAGCGCCCCCCTTTTTCTCCTCTAGCTCTTCCCCTGAAACCTCCAGCAAGTTATAGATGTTTATGGACGTGCAGGACGGCTGCTGGGGACGCGTCACACTGAGCGTGTTTGAACGTTGTCCCCTCCGTTCTCCGAGCAAGCGCCTACTTCTCCGTTTCGCCCTCAGCCTGAAAATCCTTATCTGAGGAACTTACTGGACTTTGATATCTATGTTTTCTTTCTCCCTAGGCACCTTTGGCCCAGCCGGAATCCCCTACAGCCTCCGCGGGCGACGATGCTCGCTCAGCTGCCGAGTCGGGAGAGTCGGACAAGGAGTCGGTCTGCAGCAGTTCGGCGAGCAACGGCGGCAGCAGGGCTTGCAAGGACAAAGAGAAACCAAAGAAAGACCGAGAAAAGGATAAGGAAAAAGATAAAAAACGGGCAGACTCGGTTGCCAATAAGCTGGGCAGCTTCGGCAAGACGTTGGGAAGTAAGCTAAAAAAGAACATGGGTGGCTTGATGCACAGCAAAACTATCAAGGGAGGCGTGAGCAACGGGCAGGGAGATACCTTGGAGAAGAAGAAGAAAGGATCCTTGAAGACAAGGAAAGGCAGCAAAGAGGAATCTTCCCAAGGAGACTTGTCAGCTCCTGTGGAGAAAACCTGCCCGGGTAAAGCAGCCCCCGAGAAGCCGTCGGACCCCTACAAATACAGCAACGACGTCAGGCTGAGCCTGAGCATCCTCCGGGCCGCCATGCAGGGAGAGCGCAAGTTCATCTTCGCCGGCCACCTCAAGACCAGCAACCGGCACCAGTACCAGGAGGAGATGATCCAACGGTACCTTCTGGACGCCGAGGAGCGCTTTATGGCCGAGCAGAAGCAAAAGGAGGCGGAGAAGAAGGCGCAGGGGAGCGCTGCCCCTGCCAAGAAGCTGGAGCCGGAGGTGAACGCCCACAAGGGCGAGGAAGCGATGCTCAACCCCGCTTACCCCCAGCCTCCCCCTGCGTACGCCATCCAGGCCCCGGATCTGGCCATAAGCGCTAAAATAGCAGCTTTTCCCTCCGGCTATTCGGGCGTTTTCACCTTTCCCAGACCCTCCACGGTCAACAGCGTGGAAGGGTCGCATCCCCCCAGCTATCAAGACAGCAGGCGGCAGGTAGCCGGGGGGTCCTGCAGCAGCCTCCCTCCCTACGCTACCTTACCCAGACATTGCACCCAGGCGCAGCCGAGCCCCTACCAAACCAGCCCTTCCCACCTGGGGAGGTTTTCCCCCACGGACATGGACGTCCATCCCAGCTACCCGTCGGAGTGCGACGGCTCAGCCTGCCTCCCCCCGCACAGCAACGGCTACAGGGAATACCTCGAGCAGGACAGCTCGCAGAAAGGAACGCCGGCGGACAAAACTAAAAGCCGAGTTCTTTATAACGTTCAGCAGACCAAATGCAAGCAGCCGAACTGCAGTTTTTACGGGCATCCGGAAACTGGGAATTTCTGCTCCTGCTGTTACAAAGAGGAGCTGAAACGCAAGGAGCGGGAGGCTCTAGTGCACAGGTTCTGAGCGCCCTGCCCCAGCGCTGATCTTGGGACCCACGAAAGATGGGGAATGCAATAATATATATATTTTATTTTGGGTTTGGTTTTTTTTTAAACTCCCCCCCCCACGCTCCTCTCCCTGTCTGTGGAAGGAGGGAGCGGGTATTTGGCCAGACGGGACTGAGAAACGGGATTCGGCTGGTGTGACGGAGGTGATGCAGGAGGGTGGCGGGAGGGAGAGAGAGAGGGGGGAGAAAAACCAGCCCCCCCCCACCTCCTCCTCCTCCTCCTCCTCCTCCTCCCCGAGACCCTGCGAGAGGGAGGAGGATGCTTTTAAAGAGGCTTCTTCTGGCAAGGGGTGACCGGGATTAGCGGAGGGGGGGCGCAGGGGGGGGGGGGAGGGGGCGGGTGGGGGGGGGGGGGGGGGGTGTCTTCAAAACGATTCAATAAACCAGACCAAAGCTTTCGGAGAAGGCGAACGGGGAGCAGCGCCCCGCCGCGTCCTCCCAGCTGGACTCCGATGTCACTAACTGCCCAGAATTGAGCGGAAAACACCCCAGGAATTTCAGTTTGAACGTCACAGATCTTTTTAATTGAGCGAGTTGTTTGTTTTGTTTTGTTTTTTTAAACACTGTTTTTATTTTGTATTTCTTTTTGCTGGTACTGAGCGAAACTTAGTTGGAATTGGACGTTATTGGGGTTTTTTTGTTTTGTTTTGTTTTTTTCAATTGAACTCATCCGAGCCCGGCCCCGTCGGATGTCTCCGAGCATCTCTGAGCAGCGGGCTCGGGGCTCTGCCCTTCTGACGGGCTCGACTCTGTTTTTAAAATGTTATTTTTAAACTCTTCTTGGGGTGGGAGGGAGACGGAGGGGGTGGTCACAGTGCTCGAGTGGTTTTGAGTTGTTTTTTCCCTGCAGAAGTACTGTGCAAAACCGTTCCCTTCGCGGTACGGTCGACCCGACTTAGTAAAAACTGAGACAAGAAACAAGGTCAGTGTCTCCACCCAGCAATAACCATCGGCGTGGGGAAGTAGAGAGGACAAAGAGCGTCCCGCAGCACCGGGAGGTAAATCCGCAGCGGGCTGCCGGGCACTCGCAGCCGTATGGCCACCCCCCCCCCCCCGCGATAACTCTTTCTACTTGAGCAAGCTACTTCCGTACTACCTCTGTTCTGCTGAATCGAATTAACTCGGCTCCATTTTGCTGAGCCACGTAACTGACCTTAGGCTGAGGAATATTAAAAGATATTTTTTGATAATAGGGCTAAAGAGCAAAACGTTAAGAAAAGGTGAACCCGTAACTAACTTACGCGCTCGATGTGGTCCACTACGTTCCCTTCTCCCCCCCCCGTCCCAGCCCCTGCGGCGTAGGATGAACCGTACGCTCCCGCTCACGTCTTGCAGGGTGGGTTTAACTTTAGCACTGCAATGTTTGCACAGATATTTTATTCCAGATTTTTTTCCCCCCCCCCCCCCCCTTTTTTGTAACTACAGCTCCCAAACCGGACTCCATCCTGTATACGGCAAGGTTCAGCGTTTTACCACGTGAAAATAAAACATGGAATTATACCGATAATTCAAAGCTTTACAACATTCCCTCTTATTTTTGTTTTGGTTTGTTTTCCAGAAGGCATCAAACTATGCAATCCCTTCCCGTGCTGCTCCCGCCCGCTGCCCTTCCCCGGGGAGAAGGGACGAGAAAACGGGGCGGAGGAGGTGCAAGTGTACTTAACACTGGAGAATCACCCACAGCCTTATCCTCGCAAACGCGCTAAGGCTTCGTTCTAATGCACAAGTTTCACCAGTTTAACGTGTATCTAAAAAAAAAACCCCCCCCCCCCACGTTCAGCCTTTTTCGTGGGG